TTTTCTATTGATGTAAAAATCCATTCCAATTGAATTCGGTTCAAAGAGATTTCTTTTACTCTCGATAGACACTAAATTATTATTATTATTATAATAGACACTATATTATAGTAATTTTTTTAGACAATAAATTAGTAGTGGGTACATAAGTTATTATTTTAAAATAGTATTCTTTCTGTGTAGGGGTACAGATGATTGAGGGATAAGGGATGTGGGCTTGGGTTTTTGTTAAAAAAAAGGAGGATGGTGTTATAGCCACTCGAGGACAACGGCGAGCTATGACTTTGCATTTTGCATTACATTTACTTTTTGCAACTTTCGAGATTCTCGGGGCGAAAGCAGTTTGAAAATTATTGCAGATCCTGGAAACTGGAGTCAGCAGCTTCTTCTTCCTCTTCTTCTTGGCCACATTTCAATGTTGCATGTTGGAGTTATTTTAAGCCATCGTTGTTGTTTTGCGGGTTGTTGTTGCTTACACACGCAAATGTCTTATTTATGCTCAGCACTTTTTGCCACCCACCCACAACTTTTCCCCTTATTTTCCCGACCAGCAGCGACAACTTCTTGCGGCTGAATGTCGTCGACTTTGCTTTCTGCCCTTGGTTCCCACTTTTCCTCGCTTTTCACTCTTCTCTAGCTGTGCAGCTCCATCTTTGCGGTTCCCTTGCAAATGTTGTCTTTAACATAAGCCAAAAAACAAAATAAAAACTACAGTGGAAACTTTGGATATTATCATTTTTCTGGGGAGTAATTTGTTACTGTTGTTTTTACTATATTAATATTTTAATAAACAAGTAAATTATACAAGTAATAAATAAGAACGCAAGAAAATTTATGTACAATTTTTCAGATCAAAAAATTGAAACTCCAAAATGAAAAATTTGAATGCAGATTTTTAGAGAATCAATCCACAAGTATTTAGAGGTATGCCACTTTGAAATCGGATTAAATTTGGTAAAGTTATAGACTGTGAAAGTCCAATTGTGTGGGTCACCATTTTACATGTCGTCGGAAACTTACAAATAACCAACATGAAAATGGGTCAAAATATTGACCAACTCCAAAATGAAAAATTTGAATGCAGATTTTTAGAGAATCAATCCACAAGTCTTTAGAGGTATGCCACTTTGAAATCGGATTAAATTTGGTAAAGTTATAGACTGTGGAAGTCCAATTGTGTGGGTCACCATTTTACAAGTCGTCGGAAACTTACAAATAACCAACATGAAAATGGGTCAAAATATTGACCAACTCCAAAATGAAAAATTTGAATGCAGATTTTTAGAGAATCAATCCACAAGTATTTAGAGGTATGCCACTTTGAAATCGGATTAAATTTGGTAAAGTTATAGACTGTGAAAGTCCAATTGTGTGGGTCACCATTTTACATGTCGTCGGAAACTTACAAATAACCAACATGAAAATGGGTCAAAATATTGACCAACTCCAAAATGAAAAATTTGAATGCAGATTTTTAGAGAATCAATCCACAAGTCTTTAGAGGTATGCCACTTTGAAATCGGATTAAATTTGGTAAAGTTATATACTCTGGAAGTCCAATTGTGTGGGTCACCATTTTACAAGTCGTCGGAAACTTACAAATAACCAACATGAAAATGGGTCAAAATATTGACCAACTCCAAAATGAAAAGTTTTAATGCAGATTTTTAGAGAATCAATCCGCAAGTCTTTAGAGGTATGCCACTTTGAAATCGGTTTAAATTTGGTAAAGTTATAGACTCTGGAAGTCCAATTGTGTGGGTCACCATTTTACATGTCGTCGGAAACTTACAAATAACCAACATGAAAATGGGTCAAAATATTGATCATCTCCAAAATGAAAAATTTGAATGCAGATTTTTAGAGAATCAATCCACAAGTCTTTAGAGGTATGCCACTTTGAAATCGGATTACATTTGATAAAGTTATAGACTGTGGAAGTCCAATTCTGTGGGTCACCATTTTACAAGTCGTCGGAAACTTACAAATAACCAACATGAAAATGGGTCAAAATATTGATCATCTCCAAAATGAAAAATTTGAATGCAGATTTTTAGAGAATCAATCCACAAGTCTTTAGAGGTATGCCACTTTGAAATCGGATTAAATTTGGTAAAGTTATAGACTGTGAAAGTCCAATTGTGTGGGTCACCATTTTACATGTCGTCGGAAACTTACAAATAACCAACATGAAAATGGGTCAAAATATTGACCAACTCCAAAATGAAAAATTTGAATGCAGATTTTTAGAGAATCAATCCACAAGTCTTTAGAGGTATGCCACTTTGAAATCGGATTACATTTGATAAAGTTATAGACTGTGGAAGTCCAATTCTGTGGGTCACCATTTTACAAGTCGTCGGAAACTTACAAATAACCAACATGAAAATGGGTCAAAATATTGATCATCTCCAAAATGAAAAATTTGAATGCAGATTTTTAGAGAATCAATCCACAAGTCTTTAGAGGTATGCCACTTTGAAATCGGATTAAATTTGGTAAAGTTATAGACTGTGAAAGTCCAATTGTGTGGGTCACCATTTTACATGTCGTCGGAAACTTAAAATAACCAACATGAAAATGGGTCAAAATATTGATCATCTCCAAAATGAAAAATTTGAATGCAGATTTTTAGAGAATCAATCCACAAGTCTTTAGAGGTATGCCACTTTGAAATCGGATTAAATTTGGTAAAGTTATAGACTGTGGAAGTCCAATTGTGTGGGTCACCATTTTACAAGTCGTCGGAAACTTACAAATAACCAACATGAAAATGGGTCAAAATATTGATCATCACCAAAATGAAAAATTTTAATGCAGATCTTTAGAGAATCAATCCACAAGTCTTTAGAGGTATGCCACTTTGTAATCAGATTAAATTTGGTAAAGTTATAGACTCTGAAGTTTCGGTCAAAAAATTCATCAACGTTAAAATGACAATTTTTAATGCAGATTTTTAAAGCTTTCTTTAGAAAAAAAATATTTACACTGCGATGCAGTCTTTTACATTTCAATGGCTACATTTTCTTTAGATAATTAAAATTAATAAAAATAAATAACATTTTTAGTTTATCAATGGATGTTAATATGAATTTTTTAAAAGTATGTTTACAATTACAATTTTTTTACAATTTACATTTTTAGACTAAGTTAGACTGAGTTATGAAATTGATCACAGCACTTGGTATTATAAGGTCAGAGTTCAAAGGAGTGGCTCCAAAGGGGTTACCGAACACACATATATTGGGTGCATGCCCATGCATTAATATCCTGGGCCATCTCCTTTAATCCCACAATCAAAAGCCAAGCCTGCCAGTCCGATTGTTCTTGGCAACACAAAGCTCGGATTGCATTTGGACCGACTTTTGTGCAGCAGCTTCCTTGAGAGGATTTTCGCTCTGCCATCGTACTTCAACTTCAGTCCAGGGCTTTCTTATGCAAAAATCTATTCTTGTTGCTTGTTATTCTTGCATAAAAGAAAATTGTTTATATAGCTGAGAATATATATATATTTGACAGGGAATGGGGCAAAGGTTTCCACGAGGAAGAGTTGCCAGCGCATACTTTATTTTCTCTATTTTTTTTGGGGAAGTCGGGGGATAGAGGACAGACCAAGCTGCTTAGTCCTGGCTCTAATAGAGCCTTGCCAGGACTTTTTATGCTGCTTATTATGGCTGGAGGAGATTCAGCTCCCAAAATCCCCTTCATCTCCGCTCTCTCTTATTTATTGTCATGGATATTTGACTCAAGTTTTTCCTTTACTATTCCGTGGCTTGTGGATAATATACAATTTTTTAATGGCACATAATCACGTTAACTGAAAACTGTCGTCGCCGCTAACTTAATAAGCAGAAAGTCCAAAGTTCCTCGGTCTATGGAGGGCCGGACAGCTGGGCACGTTATGCAATTTAACAGAATTATTTAAAATTCAACAAAACTTCTGAAGTGGGGCATGAAAAGTGAGCGGCAAAGTTTGCAACATGGCAACAACTTCATTCACCATGGGTCAGCGTTGCAATGGAAACTTTTAAATTAACCCTAATTCAGAATATGCCAGCAGCAACAAAATAAAAATAAAAAATAATATACAAATAAAAGTAAAAATGAGAAAAAAAAACAGAGAGGAAAAGAAATGGTGGCCAACAAGTTTACAATATTCTTGTGCATTCTTCAACTTTAACAATTTATTAAATGGGTCAAAAGCCACTAAAACTTCATTTATCATTGCATGAGCAGTCACTGCACCACGCCCACCGCCCACTGCCTACTGCTCACCCACCACACCCCCTCATTCCGCCCACTGCCAGCCAGCACGTCAGCCCGTTGAAATGCCAACAAATCGCAGAGACGAATGAGCTCAGCAAACTTGAAGCGTTTCCGGTATGCCACAACTACTTTTTCCCCTCTCAGTTGCCCTGGATTTAGGTTGGGTATGCTGGCACTTCGGGGCTATTTGTCATGGAGATGGGGGTCGTTAACGACGGAGTCCACCGAATTTGCTGTGCATAAAACTCAGTTCTAGTTTAGTTAAGCTTGCTTTCATTTAATGACTTTGGGATTACGTTTCACCAGAGCAGAAAAGTTTATCGAGGCTGGGTGGTTATTTGAATTTAAAAGTAAAATTAAACTATTTTAATGATGAGCCAAGCAGTTGATTTTTCCGCGATACCACATTTCCATCTTTGCTTTTTGTTTTTATCGGCAAAATCTGAGACAATACTTAAAAACTAGTAACCACTCCGCCTTTAAGTCTAGACTTGATTGTTTGCATTGCTTATATTCCTTTCCTATAAAAATAGGAAACTAAAAAATCGATTTCATTCTGTTGATTACTTTATAGGGTAACCCACTCTCCAGTTAACGTTTTTTTTTAATTTAGTTTGCCTTTGCACTGCACCCTTACGGATTATTTAAAGACTTTAACTGCTTGGTGGGTTAAATAGAATTTAATATGAATGAAATAAAATAAACTTGGCTACAATATTTTATTTATATTTTGCTTAGGTTCTCAAAATAGTCACTTCTGTTGGATGGACTGTCCAATTAGGACGACGAGCGATTGCAGTAGTGTCCCTTGGAAACACAAAAATCAGCTTTCTTGTGGATCGAGTTCTGTCCGGATTTCGAGGTCTAGTGGTACGAATTGGTGGCGGTGTTGAAGGAGTATTCGTGTGTTCAAAGAAAATAAAAGTTAGACCTCTAGTCGTTGGGTTGTGCGACCTGGTGGATCGAGGTGTCGGATTGGAAGGCCTAACTGGGGGTCTTGTCCATAGAGTCGGATTCGGATGTTGAATTGTTACCAAAGTGGGTCCTATGGGACGACTTGTCCATAAGGTGGGTCTATGGGTGGGTCGATTGCTAGGTCTAATAGTGGCTCGATTAGTGGGTCTTATCGTGGGTCTCGTAATCCGAATTGTGGGAACTGTTGGTCTAACTGGAGGTCTTGTCCATAAAGTCCTTTTAATAGTGGGTCTAACAGGTGGTCGATTGGTAGGTCTTATTGTGGGAATAGTTGGTCTAACTGGAGGTCTCGTCCATAAAGTCCGTCTGATAGTGGGTCTAACTGTAGCTCTAATGGTGGGTCTCACTGTGATTTTTATAGGAGGTCTTGTCCATAAAGTAGGACGCACTCTTGGAGGCGTTGGACGAATAGTTGGCAACGGAGGACGCACTGGAGGTCTTGTCCACAGAGTGGGCCTTATGTTTGGTTTAGTGGGCAGTATTCTAGTGGGAATTCGAGACCAAATCAGAAATTTTCGCGTGGTTGGCAGTAAAGGTGGTCTAGTTGGCCTGGCGGTGGGTCTCCGTGTCACTGGTGGTTTTGGGATCGGTCGTGTTGGTTTCCTTGTGATGGGAAGTCTTCTGGTGGGCTTGGGAGGTGGAATTATTGGCCTCCTCGTGGGTGGTGCTATCGGAGGTCTCACAAATCGCGGTGGTGTTGCCCTTGGAGGTGGAGGAGTTATCCTTGGAGGCACTGGTCTCGGAATAGGTCTCACTGGTAGTGGAGCTCTCCGAGGACTGTCTTCCGGAATCGACAGAAGTGCAGGTGCTTTTGGCGGTGAACACACCGGTGTTCCATTGACCTGGACAAAAGCCAAGCAGAACAGATAACCAACGACAACCAGATGCATTTTATTTGCACGTCACGAACGACTGCTCCGATTTATATAGGTTACTATAAAAAGAATACCAAAAACAAACACAGATGGTTGGCGAAAGAATTTGTGCCTTTGTCTTTAGACTTCACTCGGTAGTTAAACGTTTTATTAAACATACATAATTACATGATTTCTTGCGTTTACCGGCTGCTTCACTTTTTCATTCTGTGTTTTTGGTTTTCGGGCTGGGTATTGTATCCTTTGTATCATATGTATGCGCTTTGTGTATAATACTTGTACATTCTTATATAAGTGTATAGCATATATGAGTATGATTTTTCAATATATATATATAGAGAAAGTTTTCTTTAAATATCGGCTCAACAAACATAACTGTGAGTGCAGTTGTACAGAATGCATAATACTAAGGTTAATCTACCCGACAAATCTCAAGAAATATGGTGCTGTACACAAGAACTAGCGTATCGATACTAGAAAATATTCAATCAAATTTGCTATCAACAATATTTAATAATAATGTTTACAGTATTTTATATATTAATGTTTATGCATATCGCGCGAGAGATAAGCTATATTAGCTTTATTTACCGTCGATCTGAAATCAGGAAAAATATCTCTTAGGTACAGATACAGTTTAGTTTAGTTTAGTTTGCCTTTTCACTTTGGTGCGTCAACTTTCATATACTATATAAACGTATATTTATATTTCTATTTTATATGTATTCCTTAGGTATGTCAAAATATGTCACTTTATTAGTATATTTGTGTAAAAATTAAAATATTCAACAGTTGATTGCAATGAGGCGGATTTCCATAATATCATTCGTTACAACATTTGTTTATCTTTTGGTTTAAGTTTTTGGTTTATTTGTTTGTTCTCGTCTCTACTTTGGTTTAAGTTTAGTTTATTTTCATTTTTAATGCAACTACATTTATATTTCATAATACATATTCCATTAAATTACTTAATTTTGTTCTTTGTAATATTGCAAGGGACAATTTCGTGAACGACAATTTGCTCTCCAATTTCTAAAGAATTTAAATTCTTAAATGTTTTAAATGTGTGAAACCAAGAATGCAATTTTTTCCATAAAGGTATTTTACCCTAAGACTCTTCGAAAAACATTTAACATGTAAAATAATTTAATTGAAAATTAACTACTTGGTTTTTCTTTACAAGAACTCCCCTAACTTATTGGGAAACCCATACGGTGCGTTTCAAAGCCATAAGACAAGGGATAATCTAAATTAATACTATAAAATAGTATGGTGAACATCATAGTCATAATCAACTGCGGCTAAACGAAGCAGCTTCCGCTGCTTCCCGATGTCCTGTAGCCTTGAAACGCCCCGTATTCACATTTTCTGTTGGTGTTTTTATGTTTTCAATCTCCGTTTAGGTTGCTATTTGCATAGTTGTATAGGTACTTTATGTGTGATTCAGGGGGGTAACCCATGCGTATGTGTGATTTGCTTGGTGATCGCCCAAAAGCAGGCAACAAACTCTGCATGTTTTTAACTTAACAAAAAAACCGGGAGAATATTAAACGCCCGGCGCCATGCAACTGATATAAAAAAAGGCCTATAAATATTATAGATCGGCACAATATATATATACATCTATCCGTACACACACATATATTGCCCTATATATATATATTGCTAAGCTGCTATGTGAAAATTCGTTTCGATTTCCCCCAATCCATCGACTGTAACCAATCTAACTCATACGGAACCTTTATGCTGGCTATGTGGCATGTCCTATATAAAATATATGTGTATATGTATATGCTATGCTATGTGTAGATCGTATGTTGATTGCCCAACAAATCAAAATAAAGCAATGCAGTTATGCAATTCATATTGCAGGCCAATGTCCAAGATATGTTTGCGGTTATACTTTGTTCGTTTTAGTTCTGTGAGTATGAAGACAACGGGTTTTCCCCGTTTACTGAGCGAATGGATTGTGCTGGTTGGCTCCGGGTATGTCCAGATTTCCCCCAGTGGTCTGGTAGGTGCCATAGGGTCCTCCGTTCGGGTTCATCTCGTTCAGCCGCGAATTGGACAGAGCCCGTGGAATCGGATTGCTGGGAACGCCATGAGGAGCCAAGTGCGAGGTCTCCTCGGCAACCTGAAAATGAAGAATACTTTAGTTATGCAGCTCAAAAAGTAGGGGTAAGACTTAAGTCTGCCCAATAAAGTCATAATAAAAATAGAAAAGTAACTAAGAGTGAGTCAATTTTACGTGAGATAAATGACTTCAATATCTCTAGAAAATTATCTGTTAGTATCTAGACTATGGTAACTATTGCCCACGGTTGATTTAAGTTTTTAAGAATTTAACAGTTTCATACTTTAGGCAAGAAAATTATATTTTTGGCTTAAGACTTTTGTTTGAGACAAGACAGAACATATACAGGTCAGGTTTCACTTGAATTTGATTTGAGTTTGGAGCAGTTTTTATTGCAATTTATAAAACTTTTCCTCTGAAAGGTTATAGAAATACACTAAATAGTTGAATATTATTCTCTATAAATAGTACTTTTAAAACGTTTTAATATTTACAAATGGTCAAATCGAGTTTGAGATAATCATATGAAAGTAAAAACCGCATAATCGTAGTTCAAAACCACATAACTCACCTGATGCGGATCCTCGGTGACGGGTATTTCCGAGATGAAGCCCTGCTCCTTGCGGTAGAAGTTGACGAAGATGAAGAAGCCGAGGACGAAGAGGCAGGCGATGCCGTACCAGCGGAAGGTAGTAGTAGTACCGTAGTAGGTGACGAACATGCCGCCAATGATGGCGCCGCAGCCACGCCCCAATCCGTGATGGATGCCCTGGAGGACGCCCTGAGCCGAGGCTCTCAGATGTTTGGGTGTATTGTGGGCAATGTAAGAACAGGATGCGGCCCACACGGCTGCATGGGTGATGCCCTGCATCAGTTCGAAGGGCAGCACCATCCACGGATTGGTGAGATAGGAAATATAAAGGAAGCGCAGCACATTACCAATCAATCCCAGACACAGGACCTTGACATGACCAATTTGGGTGATCAGACGGAAGCTGAAAAAGTAGGCGAAAATTTCGGAAACATGATTGATGACGGATGCCACACCGAACAGGGTGGGAGTGCCGCCATAGTCCTGGAGATGCCAGAACAGGAAGGTGAAGATCAAGCCAATGCCAAAGCCCATGAACCAGGCAACGAAAAGGAATGAGGCGGTCTTCAGGTCCTTAAAGTGGGTCAGCACGGTCATCCACTCGGGCAACTCCTTGGCCGTCTGCGCGAAGACCTTGGACTCCGCCCCAATGTGCGGCTGTGGCTGATGGCCAGGGGCCAGGAAGCTACCGACGCCACCGGCACTGGCACTGGCACCGGCACCCGAGGCGGCACTGCCGCTACCAACGGCCAGCGAGGGCAGATTCAGTTGGGCCGCCAACTGGTTCATCGACTCATCCTCGGCCCGCTTGTTGGGATCCACGAACTGCGCCTGCTGCTGCTGCGCCGCCAGCTGCTCATCCATGGGATCATACTTGAAGGTGATCTTCGAGGCGGAGATTATCGCACAGGTCATCAGCACCGAGAAGATGGAGAAGCAGATGTTGTAGTTCTTCTCCTTGTTGCCAGCTCCACACGGATGATTGGAGAACGAGGTGGAGTGATCCAGGGCGATGCCCACCAGGAACATGGAAATGCCCCAGCCCAATGATCCGAACATCCGCTGGTGGCCATACTTGTCCGCATCCTCGCCCAGCAAAGTGATCACCGCCGAGTCTGCCAATGTGATCGCCGGTGCGCTGAAGAACTCCCCAATGAGGATCACCAGCAGGAGCAGGAAGAAGGCCTTTTGGATGTCCTGTGGGGAAAACGGGTATGTTATTAGTAGTTTTCAAGGGAAAATCTCTTAGCAGCTGGTCTGCCAAACTAATTGGAGATTGTTAAAACATACCTAAGCTCTTGAAATGGATTAGAAAAAATATTAAATAAATTAGTATTTAATATTAAACATTACAGCTTGTAAAACGGCATATATATCAACTTTTAAGTCCTTTGATATCAAAGCAACAACAATATATATGCTTAAGATACTATGTAACATTTCATACTTTTAACATTTACGATATAATTATAAAAGCTATCAGCTATATAAAATATATTTAAATATCCATCAACTTTTTATTGGTATTTGATATTTAAACGTATATTTATTTAAATAAGCAGCAATATTTTTTATTGTTATGCTATTAAAGAAAATTAAAACATTTTTAACGCCTTATTATTTAAATGCCAAAATATCACTCAAATTATCAACAATAATATAATTTATTTGGGAAATAATTTCATTCATTAAAACAGAATTATTATTTAGATAACATTAAGCAAACAGCTCCTAATAATATTAAGTCTATATGCACAAATAAAACTCAACAAACACAAATTATTATAAAATTATTATTTTTCTTTTCGAACCCTCTCCAAAGCTTACCGGAGTCCTGTAGACCATGGAACTGAAGATGGGCGTCACGTAATCCCTGTGGTACTTGTCGTCGTAGTTGCTCACAAAGTTGATGTGGACCGGTGAGATGCCCGCATCGATCCTGGGCAGCAGCAGGGATCTCTTGTGCCGGCTGTGGGATGCCTCTGCCTCCTCGAGGGCCTCGTCCGCCGGCATGGTCCCTGCCCCCAAATCCATCTGCTCCGGCTCATACATGGCCGACAGATCCCGCTTGGTGCGGGTGTAGGTCAGCACAAAGTCCGTGGAGTTTCGCCGTTCAATGCAGTTAATGGCCTCCGGTCGGATGAAGCTCAGCGGAATGGTGAACAGGACCCAGCAGGCCAGTGAGCCCAGGAGCAACCTCTTGCCCTGCCGACACCGATCCGCATAGGAACCCCAGAAAGGGGCAGACAGGAACTCGACGAAGGGCCGCATTCCCACCAGGATTCCACACTGGCCAGGATTCATGCCCATCTGCTTGAAGTACACGCCCATCAGCGGGAACAGCGATCCGAAGGCGGCGTAGAAGAAGAAGTAGAAGCTCTTCACGGGAATCAGCTCACGTTCCGTGCTCGCCCCGAAAAACATTTCCAGGATGTCCGAGTGGCCGCGTACTTTGTGCGTTGACTCCTTGGCCTCCGGATATCTGAGGGAATAATATAAGTTAGTAAAATAAATCTATGAAAATTAAATAGACTGTCATTAAAAACAATGACTTGTCTGTAAAATACAGCTTTACATCATTAAACACAATAAAAAAGGATGTCTGGCAGACACTTGGCACTTGAGTGATCTTAACCAGTTTGCACATTCACTATTCATAATAATATTGTAAATTAATTTATTATAATTTAACATATTTAACAAGTATTGCCTTTTTTACTCCCACAAATATGAGATTATTTAAACGTTACGTACAAATTTCTAAAATCATGTATTTAATATGCAACATATTATATACAAATTACAGATCAAAATTGTTATATCTGATCAAAAACTGTGAATACTCTCTGGGCTTTGATATAAAAATAATAAATAATAAAAACTTTTCGAAAGAGGTGTTTATAATTATAATTTATAATTAACCCACTTACAAATTGGGATCCACCTCGCCGCTGGCCTCCACATCCACCCGTGGTCTGGCTCCAGGTGGTCCGTATCCGGCTGCCTGCTGCTGCGGCTGGTTGCCGAAGTTCATTCCCTGGTCGTAGCCACCTGTTGCCTGCTGCTCGTAGGCATAGCCCTGCTGGCCAAATCCTGCTCCTCCGGCTGGAGCTCCAAAGGGATTGGCTCCTCCGCCGCCGCCACCTCCTCCGCCGCCTGCTGTGTAGGGATTCATTGTTCGCTGGTTCCTTGAACTCGGATGGTGTCTGCTGGTTGGTCCTGGATGCTCCTCCTCTGATCCCTACCCTTGCTGCTTGGTGGTTTTCCGCTCTTGACTGGCACTTCCTTTCGGTCTGGTCTCTTGTGGCCCAGTTACAGCCTCATTATCATCTCCATTATCATTCGGCAGCTGTGGAAAACAAAGGACACAATTCAGCATTACCATCGCTTTTGTTCTGGCTCACACACATCGACAGAGAAATCGCAATGTCTTTTCCTCTACAGAAACAATTGAAAATCACTTCCATGACGTATGAGTATTAGGAATGGGGAAAAAACATTTTATAAACTGTATAAAAGTGCTCAGGCAAGCTTAATACAAATTTTAAATTTGTATAATATACAGACATAAAGCAAAAACCTTTAAATATTCAACAGGATTTAAGATTACTTCTTGAAAAATAGTAAAATTTATTTTTGTTTACTCTATTTTTGATTACCTTTAAAAACTAAATGAAACTACTATATAATATTACTATAATAATATTAATAACTAACTTAAGCTGTCTATTAAATAATAATTGTGAATGACATTGCCCACACCATATAAATATTTATTAGAACTAATGTAAAAGAACTAATAAAATCGAATATTGAATATATGGCATAGTTCGTTTTACTGCTTATGTACAAGGCTAAGCTCAACCGGAAACCACTCATGTTGCTGTTTTCACTCAGGGATTTTGACAATTACTGCTGTCAACTACTTCCGTTTGACATTTCCCAGTTCTTTTAATAACTTTGAAGTGCGCATTCAAACATTTTTCTCTTTCCATTTGTGGTCACAAAGAAAAACGAATAAATCAGGGACTTGGCAATGGCAAAACAAACAAGCTCTGCCATTCACTCTATTTTTTGAGTGAGCTCATGCAAGTTGAGTGGATTGCATTAGCTGGTGAGCTTTAAGCGTGAGTAATTTCTATTTCATTTTTTGTTGAGTTTACTGGTATCACACATACGCACCGTTGGCACATAACAAATGTGGGTAAAGTGTGTGTGTGTATATGTGGGTTATTGTCTGTATATAGAGCAGACTTGTTGTTGCCACCAAAGAATGTATGCAAATGGGGGTTTTTAAAGAAAAATAAGGAGATTAGACAAACAATAGTTTCTAATCTATTGTAATATAAAAACATAAAATAATAAGAAACATAAACAATATTACCAAGAACTTCTTTACACTTTCATATTTTATTTTTAAAACTTTCCTAATGAACCACTTGGGCTATTAATATACTAAAAATCTTTTTGTATGTCTGCAGATTTATTCCTTTTTTAATGGCCCACACGTGCCCCGAAAAGCTGAGGTACATATCACTCTCTATATATAGACAATTTTCGCACACTTCTTGAAGGCCATTGTCACAGTCTGAGACACTTGAGGCGAAAGCCACCTTCAAGTCCGCACCTTTCACCCACTTATTATGTAAACTTTTCGCACTTTTCACCCAATTATTAGACAAATATTTTACACACCAGAAATAATGTTTGGCTCGCTGGATTTCTTGAACCTTTTGCTCTTCGACTGTGGGGCAAATGTGTTACGTGCGTAATCGATAAGCAGAGTTTTCCTCGCGTCTGGCCTCTATACGAGCGTTTGGCAAGCTGCCCAAGAGTTTTCCAAAAGAGCCCCGAAAAGAAAATGTTGCGCTCAAAAGCGGACGGAAAAGCTCGCTCAAGCGCGTTCCGCTGTCGCGTGCGGAGGTGTGTGTGTATCCAGTCTAATGAGATTTGACGCGGCCGACGGCAGGACTTCAAAGAGAGAGGAAAGAAAGAGAGGGAGCTCGGCCCTGCCAGTGCAGGTGCGAGAGAGACAGCGCGAGTGAAAGTGACAGCTTCGCGCCAAAAAATTGGTTTTGAAATTAATTTCTTATTAACCTATAAATAATTTAAAGAAATCAATTGAAAGGAAATACAAATAAATTAGTTCATACAAAAATATGGGTATTAGTATGAACCATTAGTATTAAAAAGTACAATTAATTTGTTTGATTTTGGTATGAACCATATCAAAATTTGTTCATACTAAGATATCACAAATATTATATCCAACAACAAAAAACGTTTTTAAACCAATTCCCGATTCCCTAATAACTGCTAAATACGTATTTTCAATGTGGTTTTTAAAAATGCCTGTAAATTTATACTTGGAATATGAAATATAAAATGTTTTAAGATTATATGTTTTTTTTTTATACCCGTTACTCGTAGAGTAAAAGGGTATATTGTATTCGTGCAAAAGTATGTAACAGCTAGAAGGAAGCGTTTCCGACCCTATAAAGTATATATATTCTTGATCAGGGTCACTAGCCGAGTCGATATAGCCATGTCCGTCTGTCCGTCTGTCCGTCTGTCCGTCTGTCTGTCCGTCTGTCTGTCTGTCTGTCTGTCCGTATGAACGCTGAGATCTCGGAAACTATAAAAGCTAGAAGATTGGCATTTTGCATGTAGATTTTAGGAGTTCCTACGCAGCGCAAGTTTGTTTCAAAATGGTGCCACGCCCCCTTTAACGCCCACAATCGCTTATATACGATTTTAAAAATTTAAATATTTCGGAAAAGTAAAAATGCAGTTTTATTGTGTTTATCAATACCTATCGAAATGTAGAAGAAATTTTTCAAATCGGACCATTTGTTAAAAAGTTATGCGTGATCAAAGTTTCTCGCACTCCCTTTACATGAGTAACGGGTATCTGATATTCGGGGCACCCGACTATAGCGTTCTCTCTTGTTTTTATTTAGTTTGTTTGAAAGAAAATTAAATTAAAAGTACAATTGTCAATTATTTCCAAGAAAAAATTAAAACTGTTAAAAAACTTTGTAAAAACTGAATAGAATATTTCAGGTATTGTAAAAAATGTAAAGTACTTTGTTATTACGCTTTCAAAGAAAAAAGGCGATTGCCATGCCGATCACCTTCGGTGGCCCCTTCGTTGACAAACAAGATGAAAAGTCCCCGCGATGGGGAACCACCAGTTACCGCAGACACGACGTGTCTGAATTTCAAATCTTATCGGATCGGCGGTTCCTATAAAAAGGCAATTGCATCTATGGTTACCAATTCATTTGGATTTGTCTACTGCTAGCAACATGAAGTTTACCATCATTTTCCTGCTGCTGGCCTGCGTTTTCGCCATGGCTCTGGCCACTCCCGGCAAGCCACGCCCCTACAGCCCACGGCCCACCTCCCATCCCCGCCCCATTCGGGTGAGGCGCGAGGCACTGGCTCCCGAAGATCACCTGGGACTGGCTCAAGCTGCCATAAGGCCTCCTCCCATTCTGCCCGCTTAAAGATGTGGAATCAGTGGAAAAACCAAGAACGAACATCCGATCAACAATGTTTTTGCAAATTCTGTAATTTCTTCCAAATTTTCTTATCACTTTTAAACCATTTATAATAAATACAACGAATACTGCATTAAGTGCCTTTAAGTCTCTCTTTACTGTCTAATCAAATATAATAGCTAAGCTTTAGGGAAATATAACTCAGCTTTAGAGCTGATAAGAAATATTATAAATCAAAATGACACCACAAAAAGTCACCGTTGAGAGGCAATCAACCTAAACGTATTTAAATTGAATACGTATGTGATCCACAAACAGGTTCTATAGTATGTATATAAGATTCAAACGAACCAGATGGCTGCAGACCATAATGAATGAATTTGTCATTCCACAAAAAAAATTGACAAGCCCCTAGAAAAAAAAGATCAATTAGTAAATATATTATGGTAAATGTTTTGTAGTATATATGTTTTGTATATATTCTTAGAAAAAAGACTGTCATGACGTTTTTCTGATTCTTTAAAAAAGTAATCATCGACGTCAATAATCTGAAAACATATATATAAACATATTTAATGTTTTAAATTAAAAGATGTTTTTTATGGTATGCTTGTGTAAATATTTATGTTTTTTAAATTATTCCATTTATAATTTTGTTTTAATTATTTTAATCGTTTATGGTTTTAATTTTTTTAAATGCATTATTTTCAAAAAGGTTTAGTCATTAGAGGCTTATAAAAATTTCTTTAATCACAAGCCTATCAGTTTATACTTTTTATTTTTCAGTGCAAGCTTTTTGTTGTCACTTCGAGTTAAAGTTTCCGCTCTCCTCTCTTTCGACTTGAATCCTTTTTGACTGCTCCTGCGCAGAAAATTCAATTAGAATTCGGCTGAAACTTCACTCAAATCGTGCCGCTCTCGCAGGCTCACTATTCCGCTCATTAACCCCATCCAGCACCCTAAGAATATTTCCTCCCCCCAATATCTATTGATAAAGCCTGACATCAAGAGAGAAATATGGTAGCGAATCGCTTATAACTGTCAAATGCTGTCCTGCGCAAGATGATGATGCACTCCTTTCTCCAGCCACAAAGCAAACCACTTGAAGATGCCAACTAAGTTCCTGAGGCGGGGTTGAAATCCGCACAAAGGAGCAACAAGTGGCGTCAATGGGAGGCGCAAAAAGGGGAGGTGAGGAGCTCAAGTCGCAGAAGCACACAACAAAAAGCTAAGGTAAATCACCCATCAAAAGTGAACGGGGAATTCCTAGCTGATAACACAGTCAACCCGAAATCGACACTCAGATGAATCTTGTGAATCACCAGGTGAGAGTTCTTCCCCATTTGGCAATGTATAAAAGCAATTGACTAGCCACCTTGGGGCACCAGTCAGCTCCAGCAATCCAATCCAGCAACATGCAGAAGACAAGCACCATAATCCTGGCCATTGTGGCAATCTCCGCCATTACTGAAGCAGTTCCTCATGATAGTCCTAGAAGGTTCCCGACTTCACGGCCAATCCGCTTCCGCCGTCAGGTGCTGGGCGGTTCCTTGGCCTCCAACCCTGCAGGAGGTGCTGATGCTCGGGTGGATCTCACCAAGGGCATTGGCGATCCCAACCACAATCTGGTGGGCCAGGTCTTCGCCGCTGGAAACACGCAAAGCGGTCCGGTCACTACTGGAGGAACTCTGGCCTACAATAAGTGAGTATTTTTTATATGTCCAGGATATCACCAAGTAACTAACAAAATCTCTAATTGTATCACAGTGCTGGTCATGGTGCCTCTTTGACCAGAACTCACACGCCTGGAGTAAAGGACGTCTTCCAGCAGGAGGCCCATGCTAATCTCTTCAACAATGGCCGACACAATCTGGATGCCAAGGTGTTCGCCTCGCAGAACAAACTGGCCAATGGATTCGAGTTCCAGCGCAATGGAGCCGGTCTGGATTACTCACATATTAATGGACACGGTGCCTCCTTGACCCACAGCAACTTCCCCGGAATTGGACAGCAACTTGGCGCAGAAGGACGTGCTAACCTTTGGTCATCGGCGGATCGGGCCACCCGCTTGGATCTCACGGGATCGGCCAACAAGTGGACCAGTGGACCCTTTGCCAACCAGAAAACGAACTTTGGCGCTGGCCTGGGACTCTCTCATCACTTCGGTTGAACTTATAATTTTGAAATTTAAAAAACCTAATTTATTAATAAATATATTGAATTCAACAAATTAATTTAAATCATACCTATAATTTGAACAATGGGGTGATCAGGATTTTAATTGCAAATAATATGAATCTGAAGAAATATATTCGAGAATTTTCAATTGCATTTGTAGTCCCGGATTTCCATTTTGTTGCAAAGTTTGTATTAAATAAGACAGATTTATTTGTATTGACCGACTAAATAAGCTAAAAACAAGAAAGGATGTTCTGTAAATTATATAGGTTGGCCAAAAATAAAACCAATAAAAAATCCCAACTTCCTAACTTTAAAAACACCAAAGTTTTGGCATTTCCAATCGTCCAGTTATATGGCAGATATAAGATATAGTAGGCCGATCCTTATGAAATTTGGTAGGTCGGATTGATTGGCCAAAAATAAAACCCATAGAACACTTCTTAACATTACAAACACCAAAGTTATGGCATTTCCGATCAATCAGTTATATGGCGGCTATAGGATATAGTCGGCCGATGGTTATGAAATTTGGTAGGTCGAATTGATTGGCCAAAAAAAAACCCATAGAAAATCAAAACTTCCTAACTTTAAAAACACCAGTTATGGCATTTCCGATTGTTCAGTTATATTGCTATATGATATAGTGGCCCGATTCGGCTCGTGCCGACTTATATACTACCTGCAATAGAAAGACAACTTTTGGGAAAGTTTCAAGCAGATAGCTTTAAAACTGAGAGACTAGTTTGCGTAGAAACGGACGGACGAACAGACGGACGGACAGACGGACATGGCTAGATCGACTCTCATGGCGATGCTGATCAAGAAACTGCGTTGCAAACTTTTGACTGAAATTATAATACCCTCTGCAAGGCTATAAAAAGATCAATAATCATTTCTTAGGGGGTTCCTAGAATATACATACTGCTATGTAATTGCCAACAGGTTCCAGGCAATAGGTAGGTGATAAGAAATGGACAGATGAAAAACCTCACGAAGTCACGTTTGAAAGGCCAAAAGTCGAAGCATTTGAAACATATATGTAAATGTGCTTATCACCTTTAAGTTTGATTTAAGTGTAACTTTACACCATTCAATCTGTAGATCGTGTTGAGGGTATTTTTCTTAAAGTAAACACACACAGAATCATTATATGACATGATCATTCATTTGTTCAAAATTGTATTTATAATTTCAAGATTTTTGGGTATTTATTGGATTACGTATTTTATCTTATCAATAATGTATGTAAGCGTTGGAAGAATACCCCCCATTATCCAACTAGAGCAGTTGACAGTATTGAGAGTAAATACAAATTTACAAATTTATATTTTGTTCTTATATTTTGAGTTTCTGCTGTTTAAAGCGATTTTTCCCAGTTTTTGGTAATATAAAATAATTAAAAATCCTTTTTTTACATTTTAAACTCAAATTTAAATAGAAAACATGTTACAAAATTTTCTTTCTCGGTTTTTAGAATTTTAAAATTATCCTTTTTGTTTTTCTAGAATATAGAAACACTTTATATCAGATTTTGGGTACCCAGTTACAATCTTCATGAAAAACTTTTAACAGAAAAACATGTAATGTATTTCTAAGCACCTTTTTGGCAGCCATTTAAAACTCATAGTGGGTTATAAAACCCTTTTTGGTCCTTTTTTCCATTTTAAAATTAATTTCACTCGTTTTTTATTATATTTTAATTTCAGTAGTTTATAACACTGTAAAGGAGAGCATCAAACTTGAATGCTTTTTGAAGTTTATTCCTAATTATTCCTAACATAAAACAACTAAAGTCCTGGAAAGTACAAAGGTGAAAAACTGGTAAACAAATTCAAAGGTAATTCACCCATCAAGTTAATCGGGGAATTTCTAGGTGATAAGACAGTCAACCCGAAATCGACACTCAGATGAATCTTGTGAATCACCAGGTGAGAGTTCTTCCCCATTTGGCAAGGTATAAAAGCGATTGATCAGCCACCTTGGGTCATCAGTCAGCTCCAGCAATCCAATCCAGCAACATGCAGAAGACAAGCATCCTAATCCTGGCCATTGTGGCAATCTCCGCCATTACTGAAGCAGTGCCTTATGGAGGTTCTAGAAAATTCCCGACGTCACGGCCAATCCGCTTCCGCCGTCAGGTGCTGGGCGGTTCCTTGGCCTCCAACCCTGTAGGAGGTGCTGATGCTCGGGTGGATCTCACCAAGGGCATTGGCGATCCCAACCACAATCTGGTGGGCCAGGTCTTCGCAGCTGGAAACACGCAAAGAGGTCCGGTCACTACTGGAGGAACTCTGGCCTACAACAAGTAAGTATTTTTTATATGTCTAGGATAACACCAAGTAACTAACAAAATCTCTAATTGTATCACAGTGCTGGTCATGGTGCCTCTTTAACCAGAACTCACACGCCTGGAGTGAAGGACGTCTTCCAGCAGGAGGCCCATGCTAATCTCTTCAATAATGGCCGACACAATCTGGATGCCAAGGTGTTCGCCTCGCAGAACAAACTGGCCAATGGATTCGAGTTCCAGCGCAATGGAGCCGGTCTGGATTACTCACATATTAATGGACATGGTGCCTCCTTGACACACAGCAACTTCCCCGGAATTGGACAGCAACTTGGCGCGGAAGGACGCGCTAACCTTTGGTCATCGGCGGATCGGGCCACCCGTTTGGATCTCACGGGATCGGCCAATAAGTGGACCAGTGGACCCTTTGCCAACCAGAAAACCGACTTCGGCGCTGGTCTAGGACTTTCTCATCACTTCGGTTAAATATAACTCTCAAATATGTAGAAACTAATTTATTTAAATACAAGTTTGAACCGAAAATTATCAGCCAAATATTTTATACTTAATATTTTGAAAGGTATATTCAATAATCCAGGGTTAAAAGTCTATCTTGGCATGTTTTTTGTTTACGGTTTTCTGTTTTTTCATTTTATTATGTAGTTAATTGAATATTTTTGCTTATTATACCGATCTTTCGTAAACAATTCGATCCCACTCAATGATTAATAATTTTGCTTATGTTAGTTTAATGGATTTTGTTTTACATTTTTTTTTGTGGCTGTTGTTGCTGCTCCTGTTGCTATTTTTACCAATATTGATTAATTTCGTTTTCGCAGAAACATAAAACTTGTTTGGCTTGAACAAGGCTTGGGAGTTGTTGGAAAATACAAAAGGAAACTATGAAAAGTCTGCTAAGTATGCTGATATCATGTGTGAATTGAATAGTGCCTCCTGCGCACCGCTTACGACAGCTTCTTGGCCTTCTGGTACAATGTGTCCACCACCTTTCCCATACTCTGGATGGTTTCCAGCACGCGTTCATAGGTCTTGTCGACGGGCGTCTCCTCGAAAACAATAAGAACTCCCTCTCCCTGATCCAGAATACCGCTGAATTTCTTGTCTAGAATCATTTGGGACAGCTTCTTTTCCACCTGCGACATAGGCAACTGGATGCTCTCGGCCACATGCGCGACCTGATAAATGGAAAAAAAATTATTTTAGTTGATTTTGAATACACAAGGAGGTTGATGGCCGACTTACCTGCACACGGGAGTAGGGTTCAATGATGCGGCACAAATTCTGCTCCAGCATGGTGTCGTATAACGTACCCAAATGCGCCTGCACAATTACATCCTCGGCCAATTCCTTTTTGTATTCCTTGAGTGCAGTTTGGAAATCGGCCAGGGAGCGTTTGTGTGAAGCTTCCGCCACTGATTTCATGGCGTCCACATCGCGACCCGAGTACGTAATGGCCTGTTAACATACAATTTTAAATTGAAATGGATAATCTAAATTATTTACCACAAGCAATAAACTTAAATAATTTAGACTATATACGCAGTAGATCTGGTAGAAACAAAAGCTTTAGTAGAATTTAAAATTCATAAATCGCATAATTAAGGTAAGGATTTAAATATACTTTAGGCCTGAGCAGTATTTTCCTCACTTGTGTCCGGTGAATAATTTTAATTGAATCAAAAGTTGAAAAAGGATTTTCTTAAATCTTTCTTGCACACCCATTTTCTTTTTCAAAAGGGTGAGCAAGCTAACTTACCAGCTTTCCGCTGACGATCTGGTTGACATCATCCGATTGCCCCAGCATGATCTTGCACAGCAACATGTATTTTAGCGAGGTCAGGGCCTTCACGCTGTCCACGCTGTCGAAGCCCTCGAAGGCCTCATAGAAGTAGGAGAAGGCGGTCTTGAAGTCGCGCTCATCGGCCGCATGCAGGATGCCCGACTGCAGATCCAGGGCGCCCTGGACCTTTGGCGGGCAGTAGATGGCATTGGCCGTTGTGCGGGCCGAGGTCAGGGCCGCTCTGGCCTTAGGCAAATTGCTCAATGCGTGGTAGGTTTTGCTCTCCAACAGCTGAACCTCCACCAGCAGATTTTTGTCATCCAGCTTCTTAAGCTCTTTTAGAAGTTGGGCACCGAGAGCCAGTGCCTCCGTATACAGAGCAGTATCGAAATATAAGGCAATCAGACGAGCCTCCAGCGATTGGCGAAGGAAGGTGCGCTTCTCCTGTTTAGCCCATTCAATGCAGTCTTTACACAGTTGAACCTGTGGGGGAAACCAAGAGATTATTAATAAATGTTGTGCTAGGGTTTGAACTAAGGACCCACCTCGATTCCTGTGCCCGCGTCCATGTCCAGGAACATGTCCACCAGCGAACGCACCAGCTTCGCCGCCTTGGCTTTGCTAATCGAGCTTAGGAACGGACGCGTCACCTTGATGAGATCGGCCAGTTCCTTGGCCTTGCCCTCCTGCTTGTAGAGCTCCCCCTGCTGTAGGATGCCCTGCTCCTTGATTCGGATGCGCTCCTCATCGTTCTCGGCGCCCTCCTGATCGCGGACCAGCTTGTTCAACAGTGAGCTGTCCTGCTCCTCGCGATTTACGCTGGACAATGCCTGGGCACGTTCGAAAAGTGTTGCTCCGGCCATCTTGCGACTTGGAATTTTGGATCGGACGAGATGTGGGGCGATCAACAGACGAATTAACAATCAATCAATCAACTAAGCGTGTCTCAACTCAGCCACAAGCAGTGCGCCAATTTTTTCTTTGTTTTCAATCGGGTCCTGGGTGTATTTATTGCGTATTTACGTGTTTAATGCTGCCTTTTTCACCTTTTGGTCGTTGTTATTAAGCGCCAGTCACGATTAGCGCTGGTGCGATTTCGATAGGTGCATCACAGCGGCCATCGATAGGCCAAGAAGGCCGAGCTAGTGCCCACTTTCGATGTATCGCACGCGGCTACTCGTGAGTAATCGGGACAAGCCGGCTTACAACCAATTGGTTGCCAACAAAATATAATATTTCTGGCTTACACTATGTACTAATAATTGTTTATTTTAATATTTAATTAGTTAAGATTTAGTTGACATTAAGTAGAAAAAAAAAGGATTTTCTTTTTCATCTTAGGTTTTTCATCAATAAATTGAATGATTTTACATTAGGTTGTTAAGCTAAGTAATTGATTGAGTTATCAAGTTGTCTTGGTTACAATGTAAGAAAACCTAGCTAATTGGGAAAGATATTTAATTAGTCAGATTTTTTAAATTTCACCTGCCTAAAATAACGATTCCCAAGCCGCATATCGATACTTTTGTTTTCTCACACCTAGCAGATATCGACCCATCGGCGTCACTGTTTGTTTTGTTGCAATTTACAAATCCAAACTTGTTAGTTTCTATACTCAAAATGGGCGAAGAAACAAGCAATTCTACGCAAAATAAAACACGCACGAAAACAACGCGACCCAAGGCGGTTTATTTGTGGACAGTGAGCGATGTGCAGAAGTGGTATCGACGCCACTGCGGCGAATACACCCAATACGAACAGCTCTTCGCCCAGGTGAGTTGAGGTTCTTGAATCTTTGATTCCTCCACTTACCGCTTTTCTTCGTTGGCCCTGCTTTCCTGGAGAAGATCCGTCATCTCCGCTCCTAGAAACACAAAAAGGACAAATCCTAATAATTTTTGCTACAATTTAGACATTACAAGTACTGCCTACTGATCTGTTTTGTTATTAACTTTTCCAGCACGATATAACCGGAAGGGCCTTACTCCGCATCACAGACTCATCTCTGCAGCGGATGGGAGTTACGGACAACAAGGATCGGGACGCCATTTGGCGGGAGATCGTAAAGCAGCGACTAAAGACGGACATTATGGAAATCCGCGATATGGAGAGGCTTAACATACACTAGGGATATAGTTGTTGATATATTAGAATAGATTAAAATTAAAATTGATTAAAGATAAATCACTAGATTTCATATACATATAATTTACTTCATGATCTTAAGGACAATAGTATCACTTTTAACAGGAGTAATCCTGCTCCTCACAATTCAAATAACGTTATTAAAGTAACGTTAAATCTGAAAGAATAACTGATCTGGATTACCATGTTTGCTCTAACTTTAAGACCATTTGAAAGATAAGTGGGGCCCTTACCTGATTTGATGTTTTGATTGATATTGACAAGGACCATTTTTAAAATACTATACTATTAAAATGTAACTTTATTAAATTCCAGATCAATACAGAACCGGATTAAATATGAAATAGAAATACTCTTAAAATGCGAGACTAGTTCAGTGTTTATTTATAGGAGTCATTTTAGAGTATACTAATGTAAAGACCAGAATATCATTTCTTTGAGATCACTGAAAGATGCTTGTAATATCAATCACTTAACACGACTAGTTCCACTTCGGTTCAGGCCTCCTTCTCCTGCTTGGGCGTTACTAACTGCACGTCATTGTCCACCAGCTGGGTGGCCATACTGGCAACCAATCCTCCTATTCCTGATCCTGCCACCGCTACGCCACTATTGCAGCTTGTGCTGGGTATGACCTTGGGCAACGAATTGGATGTTAGGATGTGCGGCATGGCGACGGTGCCATTTCCCATAGGCAGAGCGGTCGTGAAAAGCAATTTAGGTGGCTGCAGGCGCTGGGCACTAGAGCATGGCGAACTAGCAGCAGCCGGCTGCAAAAGACTTGGCAATAAGTTGAGCAGGCGATCGCCCATGGATTTCTCCCAGTCGAGGCGCTCGCGTTCCAGGGATAGACGATTGTGCTGGATCTCGTTGGACTCGTTTTGGGAATTCACCAGCTGGCGTAAAAGGAGTCTGATGGCTGCTAAAAAATACAACTGATAGTAGTACAATGAATACATGTAATAGTAACTTGGAACCTACTCGTCATAGTTCGCTTAGTCTGCTGATCCTCGCGGGCTTTCTCTTGAACCCTTCGTGTTTCCTCCTTCTCCAGCTGGATGTGCTGCTGGTGTTGCAGATGTTGCTCCTGTTGGAAACTCTGTTGAAGCTTCTGCTGCTGTTGTTGAACCGCGGCCTGAACTTGAGCTTGAGCAGTGGCCAAGGGAAGGGAAGCCGATGACTTTCCCACAGCGGCAGCAGCTGCTGCCGCCTTGGCCTGCTCCGCATTGACCAACACGAACTTAACTCCTCCGGGTGCGGTGGCCACCAAACCGGCGTTGCTTGGCTGTGCCGGTGCTGCAGCCGATCCACTGATCATCAGACGAGCACCCTGGTTGATGGCACTCTGCAGCAGCTGCAGTTGGGGAGCAGCTCCTTTAGCGTTTGGCATGGGACTTGGTCCCGTGGCAGACGGCAGCTTGGATTGCATCAGGAAATTCGTGGGCACCAGCGATATCTTGCCGCCCTGCAATTTATTCGGAGTATTGGTTGAACTCTGCGTGGTTGAGCTGATGCTAGCCGTGGTGGTGGTGATGCTGGCCGGGATGATGACATTGGCTCCGGTGAAGGGGAGTAGATTGGCGGGCTTATTCCGCTGCAACATGTCAGCCAAAGTCGATGATGAGCTAGAACTAGGAGATTTCTCATTTGGCGAATCATCCGAAGCGTCCACATCGATGGGTTCTTCCTTGGGCTGCGGCAGAAGCATGCAGTCATCGTCTTCCTCGGGCTCGGGCTCAACTGGCGGAACCACGGGAGCAGTTTCCACCTCTTGGGCAGGCTCGTTTTTAATGCACGGTGAAGTCAGAGCCTCGCCAATGTCAATATCCACGTCGGCGGAGAGTTTGCGACGCTTGGAGAATGATTCTTCGTTCATGTCGAGGTCGGATTCCAGGCAGCCAGCCTCCAGTTCCTTTCGGTTCATGGACTCCTTGTTTTTGGTCACCAAAGCAGAGAGCAGCATGTCATCTTCCTCGTTATCGCTGTCGGACAGTTCCTCGCCGTTCTCTAGCCGGCGTCTGCGACGCTCGGCGTGCTCCTCCAGAGCCTGCTCCAGTTGGTATTTGAGCGAAGGAGCAGGAACCTCATTGGGTCGCACACTGAAAATCGGTCTAGTCATGATGGCATCCATCTCGGCAAAGTGTTTCCAACTGGGCTCCGAATCATTGGACAAGCCGCCGCACTCCTTGTCCTTTTTCAAGCGGTTATAGAAGCACTTAAGGTTCTTGATGCGCGTGGTAATCTCCTCCGGCGAACGATGATAGCCATACTCCTGCATTTTGGCGGCCAGCTGACAGATCACGGCGTGCTTCTTGTGGGTGGTGATGAGGGTCCTTTGCAACTTGGGATCGCCCCACAATTGTATAAGCAACTTGGTCTCATCAGTGTCAAAGTTGGGATTGCGTCCCACGAAACTGTGCTTCTTGGAGGAGCTCTGGCAAGGATTTTGAGTGCCATTTCCTGGATTTTGTGTGGTAACGGCAGGACTCGGTGTGGAGGATGTGGCACCGTTCCCCGCCTGAACCGGAGATGGTACCGGGTACGTGGCAGCCGCTGCCTCCGAGCGGCGTTTCTTAATCCTTGCACTGGACTTCAGGCTCATGCTGCACTGAATCTGTAAGTCGGACGGGCAGGAGAAAATCAATATAGGCCCAAATTGTTAAAATCCGGGAGCCAATGCCTCCGTCTGCAGGCGAGTGAAAAATGAGCCAGGCAAACGGCGCAACCGCGGGCAACCGAAATCCAGAAATCCACCCCTAAACATCGGATGTACCCCCACCGCTCGGGAAAATCGTGGCTAAGCCAAGTGCATTTACCACCCAACTAAGGAGTAGCATGCGCGTTGGCTCAAAACAGCTCTCTCGCTCTCTCTCGTCCTTAAATGACATGCGCGAAGGGGGAGTTATTGATTAGTTACCCCCTACGTTCGGGGGGTTTTACCACCTTACCGAAGGGAATATCTGAGTTCTGGGAATTACCACCTAAATTAGGGAACGTAATCCCGTCCTTTCTGCCAAAAATCCTGCTAGAGATGAGACTCCGGCGATTTGAGGCGGCGAATTAGGATGTGGACACGAGATCTGCGCATTACACTTTGTAGGACATGCGCAGTGAGAGCGAGCAAGAGAGCGAATATAACGGTGGCGGTGGTGGAAAGCTGGTGCTGCAACGAAGCAGCAGACTTTATGGGCAAACAAATATGTGTATATCAAAAAAATTGTTTAATACTTACGTTTCACCGAAAGAAAAGTGAATCAAAATCCTTTGACGTACTAGACTGAGCGAGAGGCAATAGATTCAAACATAGCTATTCTTTCGAAACAAAATTTATCGATATTTCGATTTCCGCTTTCTTGGGTCATAAATCAAGGACTTAAACATTTTATTATATATTGCAACTATAGCTATATCTTAACTTAGTTTAACTTTTTACAATGTTATTTATTTAACAGGAAATATTTTCGTTGATACCGAAATTCCACAGAGCGCTTTTCAGTGAAACGGTCGAACTTGTGTTCCCACTGAGTAACTTATCCACCATGGGCAACATGGTCTAGGGTCTTTGGACTCTATCAAACTCTTTCAAAAATACATTCCCTGATTTTACTTTAAAAGCTTACTTAATTTTAACTAATCTTAGAGTTATTTTAGAAAAAAATTTCCAGCTGAAGGTATGGTTAAGCCCAACTTTTCATACCAGTGACTTGGTTTCTGGTTCGCAGAAAGTAAGATGGACAGAATCTAAATTAAAATTTTGTCGCTCCAAGAGTTTTTTGCTATACATAAAAATAGTCGACTGAAGATCGGTGAGATATGTGCGGTTAGAGAACTGGCCTTCCTCGAAATATTATTCTAGGCAAGTTTATCAAATTTTTACATATTAAAAAAGATTCAAATATGCTTTTGTTGAAATGGATAGTTTTTCTATGTTCATTTGATTACTGTTTCAAATAATAATTTATTACTATTCTAAGCCAAACTTTAAATATTATCCAATTTCAAAAAATTTATTTTTGATTTGTTGAATATACAACATTCCTGAAGTGAAACTAGTATATTTTTAGATGTGTGGTATTTTTCAGTTTTCCCGACCCGTTAACATCGCTGTCAGCTGTTGCTAAAAATTTGGTTTCCAACACAAAAATAAAAATGGTTTTGTCAACGGACGAATTCATTAAGCGCAAGCACGAGCATACTTTAAAGCTGCGCGAAGAGTTCCTGAAGCAGAGCTCGAATCCCTATCGTCATGCCACCGGCGAGGGCGGCACCGTGGTAAGTGGGAATACCAATCCTTGGCTTGGTTATGTCATCACAATGGGATAATTGCGATTAACACACTGTCTTTGCAGTTCGATGCCGGATTATCCCGCTTCCAGGCGATGCGCGTTTCCAACTACGAGCATTTCAAGCCCACTGGCAAGTCCTTCCGCACGGGACTGTTCGCCGTAGTTCTGCCAATTGCCCTTTACGCCTGGGCCCTGAAGGCGGAACGCGATGGACGCGAGCAGAAGTACAGGACTGGCCAGGTGGCCTACAAGGATCGCCAGTTCAAGTTCATTTAAGCCATACATTCAGCGATTGATCTTCGATTTGTAGTGAAATTAAAACAAGACCGAAAAGAAGCTCTATTTTCAACTAATCGTAATTTATTTCTCCTCCATCTGCTTGTCGCGGGCGATGACAAAGTCCTCGAACTTGACCATGTAGGTTGTGCCCTTGTGCCAGTGGGCGGTGACCTTGCAGGGCTATAAAACAAACACTATTACAGAGAATACTTATTGGGTCACAATATAAACCTACAAATCCACAATTGGTGAGCACAGCCTCCACAATGCCAGCCGTGAAATTGGCACAGTTCAAGGATCCCTTATCCTTCGGCACACTAATAAAAGTATTAACCAAGGGTTCCTTTTCAATAATATAGTATGTTCGCTCATCATCGTTAGCATGCTCCAACTTTTCCGCCTCCTTGCCAAAAAGATTTTTCCACACCGTGGTCTTTACAAACAGAAGCATTTGCGTTAATTTGGTTTCCCGCTTAGAACTCCGTTCCCTGACGAAATACAGGTCGATAATGCGGGTGCCCACGTCTTGACCCAAGTCATGTAGCCTTAAAAAGAGTTTTACATTACGGAATTAATCCAATAAACATATTGAAACCCCACCTTGTTTGCAATTCTGGCACTGTAAACACTCGACTCTGCGAATACTGAACGATTTCGCTGAAAAGCAGAGCCACAATACTTTGGGAAACCTCAGATTTCCCTTTAGAGAGCGGTCTGTCTAGGATATTGCTGCGCGGACGCATCGAGGAAATTTTAAGGGCCTCTAGTTTTTCCATTTCTTGTAATTATTTTGATAAATTATTTTCCAAAACAAAGCAGTGTCAGTATGGTCGCAGCAGTTACTGCCGAAAATACCGCAACTCCCCAAAGAAGCCAACAAATGGTCTTACTGCACTGAGGGAAATCGGTTGTTTCCGAAATTTCCGCCTAGATATTTTTAAGTTCCCTTTGGCGCATAAATTAAAAACATGGGCAAAAAAGAAAACAACACAAAAATAACATGTTAACGCAAAAAACTATATGTATATATAAACGCCTTATCCGCGTTATTGCCTCGACTTTAATATCGATAGCCGTCGAGCATCAGTGTAGATGGCTCACTATAGCTAGCACAGACTCGAACCTCTTAAATTTAAACTTTGTCGTTTTATTTTTGTAACTTTTGCATTTAACATGTGTTGTTATTCAGAATAGGGAATGCATCGTCCGATTGTGTTTTCCTCAAGCTGCAGCAATCAGTCTTTTTACTTAAGTCCAGCACCTCCACTCTGGACCAATGATCTAAGGAGCTCTGTTGCAATTCGGTAAGGTAAACTTCAAAGTTATTGTAACGAATCTCCCGAGTGTTAGGGCACCCCACCCAGTGATAATAGTTGCATAACTTATCACAAATCCACTTGCGCTGAGGTGTTCCCTCTTTAAGGTAATCCTCAAGCAGTGATCCATCACCATTCAAACCCGCTAGATTTTCTTCGTACATTCGCGAAGTGATGTTCGAAATGGCCTCGTTGATCTTCCGATCCACTTCCTCAAGGGACAGCAGTTCCTTCACCAACTGGTGACTCTCCTCGCGACGCACGTAAAGCAAATACCACAGGGGCATCAAATGAAAGCGAATACAGGAGACTAAACGCGGCGCATGCGCACTTCTTTGGCTCCAATTGTGACCCAACCATCGCACTGCTATAAATAATATCTAAAAGAAGGAAGATAAAACTATATAATCTCAGATCAGATCAAACACGCATACCTCAATCTCCGTATTTACACAGATCCCACTGGAACTGAGCAGGTAAGCCAAGTGAGTGAGCGGCAGGTCCAGAAAATCCTTGGTGGCCACAAAGGTGAGCAGGAACTTCTGGATTCTGGTTAGCATTAGATTGCGCACCACATCCAAGGCAGGATTGTATCTGGTCTCCACATACAGGATACAAGCCGAATCCTCGTTGTAGCAGCGGTTGTCATCGAAATATTTCCAGCAATGCGCCAGCAAATCATCGATTCTCAAATAAGTGGCGGCCACAAAAATCTCAACTATATAGCGGCACTCCAAGATGGGTTCATCGCTCAACATCCATTTGTAGATGAGCATAAAGGCCTTCTGGGAGACGCGATCCTCGGGTAGAGTTACCAAAAGGGGAATTGTCTTTAGTTCGCTGAAGAAGCGAGAATAAACTTGGAGCACGATAAAGTGGCAGTTGAAGTACATCTTGTTAATATCTATTTGCACGGTGGTCTTGTGATGAGCCTCTATCATATAGCGAAGCACCGAGGCCAGTTGATCTTTGGGCGGCTGCACCATTTTTAGCCAGCCCTCCACATCCTCGAAATTATGACCAAACTCGAAGAGAGATCTATTCAAAGATTCCGTCACTTCAAAACCATCCTTTGAAAATCTTTTGAAGACTCCTCCTAGTTCCAGATCCTCGGTCTTCGAAACCAAGCGCGTTACGGAGTTCAATTCATCATAAGAGGCTGGTTCTTTTGGATTAAAGTTTGGACTAAAATGTTGTTAGGTAAAGTACTTAAAAGACAAATTTAATATCTCACTTGGTAAATAATACACTGCAGGTGAGTTCCTGCCTCTCGGATTTCTGGTCTTCTCCGGACTTTTGTCTCATCAGCTCGTCCATTTCGATAGTGTTTCCTTGTTTTGTATTATATATTACAAGCCTGCTGCATGTATAGAATAATATATGACATTCAATCAATACACACTCAAGCCATTCACATTGTTTATTAAATTGTGTTTTATTGTTGGTATTCTTTTTGTTTTTTGTTCACATTTTCAAATACATTTATATGAATAAATATATCATTTATATTACTATTTGCATTATCCATTTCTGTAATGACACATTTCTTTTCAATTTAATATGAGTATATGCGGCTATTTTAACCATTTTTGTTTATTTCGATGTGAAATAATAAAGGAAAGGAAAATTGCAAAAGGTAAATTGTATTTTAGCTAAAGTAATAATTCTGCTTTTGAGCTAGTTTTATTGTTTTTCTGTGTGTAAGGACGATTGTAATAATAGTTAGCTATTTTCTTTTGAGTAAGCGTTTAAATTAAATAATATAAAACGTAATTGTAAATTATAGATACATATTTAACATTTTGTACTTCTTGTTGTTGAGTGTTTTGTTTCCGTTTGATCGGTTCTCGGTTCATCTTTCCTTATTTTTTCAAAATTTTTCAATCCATTGATGTCCGTTTTCATAACTTGGCTTGTATTTTTTGAGGTTTGTATCAATGTTTTACTGAATTTTGCACATTTAATAACAATTGCCGTATTTAGTTAATTTTTACAATAATAATGTTGCTTTTTAATGTGTTTTTTTGCACAACCTTTGCTTATTTTTAATAAATATGCATTTTGTTTTAGTTTTCGTGTGAAGTTTTCTTTCATGGTTTTTCTCACTGACTTAGTACAACAATAATTATATAGTAAGAAATAAATTAATGTTTTTTTTTTTATTTTTATATATATATAGCTGCATATATGAGTTTGTTGATTTTTTGAAAACACTTAAATTGTTTTTTTTTTTTTTACCCCTTTGCTCAAATGCTTTTTCTTAGGGTAATTTTATAAACCGCCCAAAGTGTTTAGCATTTTATTCAAAATTACAAATTGCCTCGCATTCTAGAATTATTTAGTTGCAAAAGAGCCCCAAACAATGCTACTGTCTTTGCTTGTCCATTGACTCTCTAAATCTAATTGGTTTTTTTCTACGGCTAAACAAAAGTTTTGGAAATGATAAGTTTTGAGTTCTTGGCAAAAGGAATATTTTGAATCTTCATGAGCCCTAAGAAGAGACAAAAACATCCTTTTTAAAAGGCAACTAAAAAGTTAAGTAGTTTTTAATTAAAGCTCGTTTAAGTAACAATTGCTGAGCAAAGCGAACTCACAAAATTCGAGCATTGCCGCAGAGCCTTTTGCTGGGGGAGTCGAAAACAATTTGTAATTCTTATTCAGGTTCAGAGAAGAATTATTTTACAGCTGAGTCGCCAACTGTTCCTTCTTCCTAGTTGCATGTATTCCGTTCATTTTATTCATTTGCGCATCAGGTTGCTGTTTGTTTGAACTTTTCGTGTGAGTTTTGAGCGCGTGACATTGATTAACAAATTGGAATCGCGCAGAGAAAATCGCATTTAAATATTTATTCATTTATTTAGTTCTCGTTTCGCCTTTGCCTTGGCCTTTTAATACTGTTCTCCAATTTCGAATTGTAAACAAGCAAGTGTAAATAGCAAAAAACTCTAAACAACTTAAACTAAAACAAACATTGTATAATATTTGATTTTAAAAAAAGTTATTCAGTTAATAAAATAAAAACAAATAGCCCGTTTATACAAAACTATAATTAAGCGAGAGCACTAAATATAAGTTACAATTAAAAAGTATATTAAAAATAGATACGTAATCCTTCCTGCTCATTGTATATACAATAAATTATGGCAATTCAAATGGAGTATACCGAAATGATACTAAAAGCGAACTAAAGTCATATTTTCGCAAACTAATTTTTCAGCTGAACTGATTTATACATTTTTTTGTTCACCTAACTTTTACAAGCTGAGCTTTTCATTTTCACAAAATTGCCTCTCTACTGTATTGGAAGTATTCTGCTTATTTTTCTCAAATAGTTGGGAAAAAACATTTCTTTGCCTACTTTTAGACATCTAAGACATTTCTTTGATTCTGGTGAACGATTCAATACAGCTGAGTAATCAGTTCGCGAAAACAGGACTCTAAGCTGTCACCCTGGACAAAACCTAGAACAGCAAGCGTCCGTAATCGTTTTGGGGCGCCTTCCTCTCAGTCGACTGCATTAAATACGGCGGCATCTGCTGCTGTGGTGCGCCCAAGCTGTGCGACAGCTCCCAGTTGTAAAAGTGGCGCTGCGATTGGGTCTGCGATTGCTGCGACTGCTTCTTGTTGGTGCTCCACGGACGCTTGGTGCTGCTCATGGTCTGATCGGGTTGGTGGTAGTGGAATTCGCTTCTGGGCCTGGGGTCATCATCGTGCTGTCCTTGCAAGCGGGCCTCCAAATGTCAGACATGCGGCTTGTGCTGGCCGCCGCAAAGACCGCAGTGGATACCGGCCAAGTGGCAGGCGCGGAGCGGCGGATAGCACCACAGGCAGGGCACGAACAGCGAGAGGAGCGCCAGGCCCAGCCAGCGTTTGCTGCAGCCGGCCTCGCTGGCGCTGCAGTCGCACGGATGCTGGGCCGTCTCGCCCTCGGCGTCGCTCATGCAATGGTAGATCATGCAGCGGGCGCAGCCCATCCCGGAGATGCATTCGTAGCCGCTGCGAAAGGGATCCGGGGCATATTCGCAGGCGCCCCGCCGATTGAAGTCCTCGCTGTAAAGCTCATGGCAGTACCGGCAGCGCGAGCGGGTCTCCTTCTTCAGAATGTCGGATACATTTGGCTTGTGCAGTGGCTTTCCCGATCCTCCGTCTCGGCCGGCCTGACTGGCCACCGTTTGGGCCGCCGCCATGGCCTGCGCCGCCTCCAGAGCGTTGCGTTTCTTCAGCGCACTGATCGATTCCCGCCGAGCGTTGAGCACCTGCGCCCCCACCGGCTGGTCCACCACTGGATAGTTGTAGTCGTGGTGCACCGCCGTCAGCGTCACGTACGAGTAGTTCTCACTGGCCGCAATCTGGCCGGCGGTCGCCGGCGATGGAGCAGCAGATGCGGGCGGTGCGTCTGGCGGCGATGTGGTGGCCGATGTTTTGTCCGTGGATATGTAGTGAATGGGCGGCGGGGGCAGCTTTTCCGAATCGGAGTTGTTGCTGACGCTCTCTGTAAGATAAGGAAGGATTAGATATGCCTCGACATCACAAGTGGAATCAAGCGTTAATATGTATATTTTTTTAAGTACACTTTTGATTCCACTTTAAAATCCCATTCAACAATACGTACTGTGACTTTTCTCGCTGCCCTCGGGGCTTGAATGGATCTTTTGTAAACTCTCGCTCTCCACAGGTAAGTCCAGGGTCATGAATACATCATCTTCGCCAACCGAATCATATTTGGTCAGCGGCGGGCATATTATCGTCGGATTCGATTTGGCCAGTCCTAAATGGGGAAAGAAAAGGGCTTTAGTGCACAGAAAAAATGTAATACTTTCAAGCAAAGAACACAGTTTTTTAAAAGGCGCAAAGCAGAGAACAGTTAAAGTTTTAAAGAGAAAAAGTGGTAGAGTCTAGAGAGCGTAAAATCAGAATACATCTAGGTGTAAGCAAGGAAATCGAAAAGAATTCGTTGAAAAGTTGTGACCTATAGGTGTGGACTAGACTATATTATTTGTCGTATATGTGCTGGGAATTTTGAAGTGATTAAGCACAATTTTCCTTCAAAGCAAACAGCACACATGAACTAATTTAAGGTACGGCCTCATTAAACACTTACCAATTTGATTGAAATTATAGTTTTAAATGTTTGGTTGATTTGTCGATTTTTGAAACAAATTTGCAATATTCCAATGTGATTGTGTGTGGTGATTTTTGATAATTGATTTGATTGTTTTCGTTTGGTATTGTGGCAAAAGTAGAGCATAAGACATACAAAAAGTTATATATTAGTAAACGAAAGCAATACTAAGGCAGAGGATTGGAAGAATCGGAAGAAAGAAAGGCAAGTGGTTTTTGGCAGGAGTCAAAAGGCAACTAAAGCGGGCTGATAGAAAGCAGAGAGATGGGATGTGCAAGCCGGTCATGCAACTATTAGATAGATGAGGTCAGCCAGGAGGATCCGGGCAGGAGTTTACCATCGATCAGCTCGTTGTAGGCGCGCAGGACGCCCTTGTCAAAGGCCCGCGCATCGGCGGCCGTTTGAAATGTGAGTCCGTTCCGCTGCTTCCCTGCGCGCCAATGATGAAATGTGGGCATTACTTTGTAATACTTCAGATCTCTATTGATCACACAGCTCAAGATGACCTGCCGGGGGTTTATTTATGGTTATTATCTCATCTTTAAAGGTTCTGTAGTGGCTCTACTCACGCTCTGATCGGATATCCTCTGCCCGTAGATAATGTAGTCATGACCTGATGCCAGTGGGGATAGCCTAGCCCGCTTCCGGATCGAAACGTTGGCCAGGCCACCCCCGGCCAGCGGAAGCCAGCCCTCGGTGCTCTCGTCTCTGGTCATTACCTGTGCGCGTACTGTTACTAAGAAGTCGCTGTGAAATTAAATAAGAGGAAAAAGGTATAATTAGTTTCATACTTCAAATCATTTGTATATATATTAGAAATATTTAGATGAAATGAGGAAATATTTAGTTAAAATTAGGCGAAAATATTTGGATCTTGTTTGCTTCAATGGATTTTTATTTAAAAACTTATTCTCAATTTAAATACAAAATAAAATTAACTATAATCGTTAATTGAAAACCAATCCACCTGCTTATCTTGCGTTTGACGCTTAGTTTGGTGTAGGAAACCGTAGCCATGCTGGAACTACCAATGGTTTTTACCGAATGTGAACCATGAATGTAACAAGGCCTCTTTATCTTCGACAGGATAACCTGCAAGTGCCGCTAATTTGGCTAATTCAATTTTTGTACCCGTCAAGGAAGCCATAGCAAGGATGCTAGTTGCCACCTGCCATCAGGAGCTGATTCATCCGAGTAAAAGTAAAAAACCAATGACAACTAAAAATAAATGCAAGTCCTTCGGTTTAAAAATATAAGCTCAGGTCAGGCACTGAGAAAAAATGTTCACTAAGCACCTGTTACCCTCCAGGCATAAATTAATTAAACATATATTGGACCTAAGAGTCCCTTTTCTGAATTTTGGGGAGCATAATTATTAACCAAAGGGTTGTCAATGATATTTAAGGGTGTCACAATTGATATGCAACATCCGGCGGGAGACTTCATTCTTGAAAAGAGGTCGCAACTTCAGTTCTGGGGATCCTTTGCCTTATGAATGGGGGACATCAAATGGAGTTTTTGACGACCTGCGCACAAGTTTAGCATACATTGTGCTTGAATAAAGACAGAGTTCCCGGGCAAATGTAGAGGAGTTACTGAATGAAAAAAGCTTCATAAAGGGAGTTGAAACTCCACTGTGCCAAGTGTGTTTGCGTATGTTAGGAAGGGGGAAGGGGGAATTGGGGGTACGTGAATGCGAGTGCACCAGTGTGCGTGTCATATATACACATACTTGTCCTAGTTTCGCTGGATTTTACAGAATGAATTTTTGTCGCGACGTCACCGGGCCTCTGAAACTCAGGACATGTCAAGGACTGGTCTTCCTATGATTTTCATTCAGCTACGTCAGCTAGTCAAGGATTTCCGAGGCAGTGTGAATGAAATATAGGTATGAAAGGAATCCAACGGAACTATCCAGGGTCAGAGCATAGCGCATAACGGGTTTTCATTGAGAATGAGAGGCGCTAACGGTTCACTCCATTTCGATTTAGAGTTGCCACCTCACTCCGAAAAGCCAGGGTGTAGTCAAAATAAAAAAGAGGTGTATATATAGATATACTACCAACTCCACCAAACATAAAACATACATACTTTTATATGTGTGGAAAGCTAGAAGAGCCTGCCCCAAGCCGAAACTAAAAGTCTATCAATATTTGGAAGCTCTCACTTCCAGTTACGGCGCATGCGTGGGAAAGATACCGTTAGAGAGAGAGCTCCAGTTATCTTTTTCTATGTCTGTGTGGGAGTTGTCGGCTATAAATGATCTGGGCAAAATAAAAGCCAACCATCTAACCAATTGACAGTTTTCTAACCAACATTCATTCATTGCCAACTTTGGTACATAGCTTTGGTGGTTGTCGGCAATCCCAAAACATTGTTGCCAACTGAATGGCTTGGATACTCCCACACACACACACTTGTACAACCACCCACACATACACAGAGGCTGCAGCAGAAAAAGATGAATGAACAACGGTCTGCGTGTGCGTATACGTCTGTGTCTGAGCTTGTGTTTGTGGACACCCACACGAAAAAGTCGGAGAGGCGACCACAAT